TATGCAAGTGACCTGTACAGTCAAAGCAACCTGAATGAGTTATTACTAATTCTATGTTTGCTGGTGCTTTTTTTTTTTTTTTTCTCCTTCTTAGTGCCATTCTGTCATCCTTCTTTTTAAATGAAAAACTTAATCTACATGGAAAAATAGGGTGTTTGCTAAGTATACTGGGATCAACTGTGATGGTAATTCACGCTCCACAAGAGGAGGAGGTAGAAACTTTGGATGAAATGTCCCACAAACTAGGTGATCCAGGTAAGAAAATTGGTAACTTGATATGTAAGCAGCCCACCACTTCTGTACTATAGTTTCATTACTGCTGCTTTCAAGTCCCAGGAAGACAGCCCTTGTCTGCTTTGTCTTGTCCCAATGAAGTAGAGATTTGAATTCCGCGACGTAATTCCGTAAGGGAGCTTTGCGTGATGCCAGTGAACTTGTCAGGCCTCGAACAAGGTGTCTTGATGTGAACCACTGAGATGACAGTTTAAACAAATGCAGCAGCACAGTTCCATAAACACAATGTCTATACACATCTGCAAAATGTTATATAAATGCAAAGACAATTCCCACTTTAAACACCAACTAGGCAGCACAGAGATTAAAAAGCCAATCTTAAGGAATGACCTGGTTAGTGGAAATCTGCTGATGAATGTAGCAGCCTGCCAAAATGTACCTCCCTAAAAAGCCTTCAGACACAAGCCTGCACCCAGTGGCATCTACACCTCAGCGAGTCTGTGCATGAGGCAATAGAACAATCGAATCCTGTAGTCATCTGGCTGAAGTTCTGGTAAAGGTAATACAATGTGCCTGAGCTTCATTCTTTGTTTTAGCTAGTTCATGCTAAAATCGCTTTAACTTTGTTGGAGGAGTAATGAGAAATATCCTGAATGCTTCTGTTTAAGCCGAGCATTGTTAATGTATGTTTTCTCAGTACATCTACGGTGCTTTTGATAGTGTCCATAAATAACAAGATTTTATTTTTTCTTTCCCCTAACCACAGGTTTTGTGGTCTTCGCAACTCTTGTTGTTATTGTCTCTTTAATTCTAATATGCGTGGTGGGACCTCGCCACGGACAGACCAACATTCTTGTGTACATAACAATTTGCTCTGTAATTGGAGCATTATCGGTCTCCTGTGTAAAAGGTTTGGGCATCGCTATAAAGGAACTTTTTGCAGGAAAACCAGTGCTGAAACATCCCTTGTCTTGGATTCTGCTGCTAAGCCTTATTGTCTGTGTGAGCACACAGATCAACTATTTGAACAGGGCTCTGGATATATTCAACACTTCGATAGTGACTCCAATATATTACGTGATCTTTACAACATCTGTTTTAACTTGTTCTGCCATCCTTTTCAAGGAATGGCAACACATGGCGGCTGATGACATTATTGGCACCTTCAGTGGTTTCCTGACTATTATTGTGGGGATCTTTTTATTGCATGCCTTCAAAGATGTTAACTTCACCCTAGCAAATCTGCCCGTCTCTTTGCGGAAAGATGACAGAGCAGCAAATGGTACTTTGCTGAGCCCGTACGACTGCTTTAATCACGATGAAGAAAGTTCTACCTGCGTAGGTGAAATACAATCCACCGAGAGTCTCTCGGCCAGGAGAAACGGAAGCCTGTCAGCCTTCTGAAAATATCTACGTGTTACTTAAGAACAATTCTGTAACTCTGGAATATTTTTTTCTGCTGTGAAATGTCTGAGCTTGTCTGGAAAAATCATGTACTTTTGAACAGTATGTGTAGACAATCGTTAATTTTTAAGTTCGATTAGTCTGGATAAAGAACACTGAAAGGGTTTTTATTTGCCTTATTTTTACTTTACTTTTACAAAAATACTAAAATGACCTCAGACCCCAGTTGGTTTTTGTTGTTTAAGTTATGCATACTGTCATTTCATTCTTCTGTTTTAAGATGTATTGCACTAATGACAATTTTATCAAAAAATAAATTGCTTTATTTCTGCATTGGTGGTAAAAAGATTGCAGTGGAGCTGGATCCTTTGTACTTGTGCCCTGGCTGAACACTAAGTGACTGTAAAGGTGCTGAACCAGGAGCTGCAGTGAGTACTCTTGTCCCAGTTTGCAAGAGAGGAAAGAGAAAGCTACAATTGCACGAGACTAATCCTTTGAAAAATACTGCTTAACTAAAGCTGTATGCTAAACTTGTAGGATTTGCATTCAAAAAGTAACTGGCTGGCAACAAGAACAAGGCAGGGAGCTTCTCCTCTGCCCCTCCCATGCTTGCTCATGCAGGAGGACAGAGTTGAGTTGTTAACAGTAGCCAAAAAAGCTGCTCCCTCTGTAAAATGGGTCCAGTTCTGCTTTTGCTGGACCATGCTGCCCTGGCTCTGTGGAGCTGCTCAGTGTGGTGGATGTTACAGCTTGAACTTGCACTGTGGCGGTTCTGTTTGCAGTAACACAGTTATGGGCTATGACATTACGTTCCAATTTTTTGGCCCTCTTAAAAACTTAAATGGTGTTGCTTAAAAATGGGGGAGGGATGGAGGTCGCAATTTATGTTCTCAAAGGCAGAAAATAAAAATTAGTGATTTTTTTTTTTTTATAAGAACATTTCTACTGTAGATGTGAAGGTTAGAAATTATTTGGGACAGCCAGCCAGTTACTAGTGTAGGTTGTCAGTTTTGGTGCTTACTGTTTGAGTAAATTGAAGATTATTACTGGGACCAAAAAACCCCCAGTTCCCACCTGGGAAACTTAACTCTGCTGCCTTCCTTTGGTACATGTCTTAAGTGCAGGAGAGGCCAAAGTATCAAGCAAGAAAAAGGTTCTTTAAATTCTGGTTAAAGAATGGGATTTGAACTTCTACCTAATTTTAAGGGCCACAATGTCAGTAGTGCTCAGTCATGAAAACATCCCTCTTGCACTTGTGCAACAGAGAGCACGGTAATGGGGAGTGGCAGGGAAGAAGTCAAACTGCCACGGAGTCACTGAACTCCAGGTTGCCACTTCTAGTACCAAAGCACCAGCCTAACCCCAGAGCAGGTGACAACTTCATACAGTAGAGTCTGTTACTTTATGTTGTGATAGGCACTCTGGCTGCCAGATAATAATAAAAAAATGAAACAGTTATGCCTTTGTGCACCTTGCTGCATTTTTCCTTTTATGTAGGAGAAGCAGTTAATACCATGTGAAGATGTTTTAGCTCCCACTGAGTCTAATACTCCTGTTGAGAAAAAATAAAAGTAACCTACCTTGGAAAAATGTGACACATAGGACTAGTGTCTGAATTCTCTGAATCTCATACTAAAGGGAAAAAAAAAAAATGTGATCATAAAATATGTATTGATGGGAGACCAAGTTGCTTGCTGCTACCAGTGAACTGGTAGGAATTGGAACTTGCTTTACTCACACCATGATTAGTTACTTTTAAATAGTTCTTGAAGCAATTATCAGGCTTTACTAAGTAACCATTTCTGTACCACAGTGCTGAGCCAAAGTGTCAGGTGTGTGAGACTTACCCCTAAACCAATGATTATCACAACAAATTCAGAAAGTTGTTAGTTTTCTTAATTGAAGCCTGAAGCACAGAGAAACAACTGGCTGATTAGAAGTCATCTTTGCACAGTGCTATGAAGGACAAAACAGCAAATGTTTCTTAAAGAAAACTGTCTGTTAAGCATCTTGTAAAAGAAATCCTGCAAGGAGCTGGTGTAACAAAGCCCAAGCGTTTCCTACTTAGGTCTTCCACCCACTGGGCCAGCCTCCTGTGTGCTCTCACCACACAGAGACCACTCCAGAATGGCAGCTCTCAAGCACAGGCATCCTGGGACAACCTGGGGTGGTGGAAATTTGCTTATAGATTGCCTGGCAAATCTCTATCCTCTCTTTTGCTGAAGAATTTCAGTTAATTTCTTTCCTCAAAATCCAGTTCCCTGCCGCCCCAGTACCCACACATTCCTCATCTCCTGTGTGCCTCCTCTGTCAAACACTTGTTTCTACCCATTACTGGATGCGATTCTGGCACTGTGAAACATCTGAAAAGAACTGAGCAGGAGAAAAGCCGTGCTGTAATCTCTGCTTCAGCTAGCAAAAGGGAAGGGAGAAAAACAGGTTCGCAAAGGCACGCGTTTCACACTACAGGTTAGAAACATTAACCGAATAACATTTCCAGAAATCCACGTCCTGGGTAAAATGTGTCATAGTCCATTATGTGTGTCCCAGCCAGCTTAACTCACATTTGTTTTGGCTTGATCCTAACAGGCAACCAAAAAGCTCTGTGAGGATCCTGCAGTAAGCAGCAGGAGTTACTTCTTGTGCCTGAGCAGGTCGCTTTAAAATTCAAGTTTTACAGTTGCAAAGTTTTACAAACGATTTTACTGATGCAGTGTTTGCATAATAATACAGTTAGTGGAATTAAACAAACATTTTCCGTAAGTAAATCATGACTAACATCATTAGAGCTGATGTACTGGGATAGATTACACCTGATCACTGTATTCAGGACTCTTGTAAACAAGAATTCCTTATCACCGGTAAACAAGTATTTCGGTACACAGGTCTGTGTCACCCACCAAAAGAGAAACTGAGTTAGAAGCTCTCATTAGCAAAAAGTAAACAGTTCCCATTCTAATCAATCAAACTACTGCTTTTTAGAAGATCAGAATACTATCCATCACCTCCGTGTTAAATAACTTTGAAACAATCACCTTAATTAGCCTTCATTTCCATAATTACTGATCTCAGAATAGTTTCTCAAAGAGGAAAAAATAATCAACTGACTAGAAAAATTATTCACAAAGCACCAGCAGAGGTTGTTGGTTGTTTTTGTTTTTTTTTTTAATAAAGGCTAATTAAGCAATTAATGCTCTAATACAAACAAGAATTGATTTCTAAATTTTTTTTTTTTTCCTACAGAACCCAGTTTCTGATCCTCCACAGCTATTATTTTGATAGCTTCGGGGGGAAATTGTGCCAGTCCAGTCTAAAATGGCCACCTCGTTACAGGAATGCAAAGAGATTTTGAAAATCTTTTACAGTCACAGGTTTTTAATCAAAGTGTATAAAATTTTAGTCTAGAAAAATAAGTATCGATCGTATACAGTTACTGTGCTTGGAGACTGAAGAGGACAGTGCACCACTCACATGGCACAGGCATACTGAAAAATGCAGGCGACAGGACGCCTTAAAACTGCTGGGTGTGTTTTGTGGGTTGGGGTTTTCTTCCTTTCTCATACTTTTATCGTTAAGGTGGAAAGTCTAGTTGCTGGCAAGGGACTGATGGATAGGTGGCTGGAAGCAGCGCACGTGTTCCACGGGTGTGCTCTCTCCATCGCCGGACTTCAGATACTTGTCCAAAATAGCAATTATTTCGTCATTCAGAATCTGGAACTTGCGAATTCTCTCGACCATTTTCTTCAAAGGCTGCAAACATCCAAACACCAGACACACAGGAATCAGCTTTGGAGATAAAAAGCTGCAAATGCCGTCACCTCGCCTCTCCCAGGAATGTTAGGAATGTTTCCCTTCCACTGCTAACCCAGTGAAAATCCAGGACACATTTTGGGTTTTGACAGTGCTGCTTTTTGTACAAAAAAGGGCAATTTACAGCAGCCTTGTCATAGTCTGAATGCACGTGCATGAGAAGCGTTACGAAAATCCCATATAGCCAGGAAATAAAAATTCACACTGAGCAGTCTTCCAACTCCAGTACTAAGGCCTTGGGGTTTTTTGTTCCTACAATCCCTGGTGCTCTCGTTTTTGACGTTTTATTCTAGAAAGCAATCGCTACATCTACACCGCTTCAGTGTACAAACAGCTCTGATTTATTGTTATTACTACAGCAGGTACAGAACAGGTGCTTCCAACTCACCACGTTCTTTATAACCTCGTCTTTGCCATCATGCTTTTGGACTTTCAAGAGGTGGTAGCAGAAATCCAACACATCGAAGCGACGCTGCTGTCCCAAAAGTACGATGATCATACAGCCAGCCCAGTGCAAGCCGTCCCCAAAGCACTGCCTGAAACAGGGAACACACCACGTAAAACACATTTCACCTAAATCTTCAGAAACAGAGCCACAATAAATGCTCGGTAATCGGCCATTATACTAAACTACGTATATATCAGTCTAGAATATGTTAGACATTAATCTAGAAAATACTGCTAAATCTCTAGTAAATTAAGCTCTCTTTCCAGATACCACAAGCAATGCAAATGGATGCTTAACAAAAAACCAGAAGCACCCCCCCGCCCCAGTTTTACACAACATAGTTACTCCAGAAAATTTACACCCCATGAGATGCCAGTAGCATTACATTTCCTTTTCAAAGGAAACAACACTTTCAAAGAGCACAAATGGGGAATTCAACAGCACGATGCTCCTTTGGGCTGCAGGCATGAAAGGAAGCAAACGTCCCATGCTGTTGCCTCCGTAACTGCGCACTGAAAAGCACGTTACAGCTGAGTAATCAGAGTTGAGAAACTCTTGAGTTTTTCAAAAGAAGAATGTTCTCAAAATTAACAAACCCAAGAACTACAGTTCCTGGTTAAGTCATGTTAATCACGTTAACCTCCTAGTGCTTGTTCTTGCTTATAATTCAGAGAGAAAATACTTGTTAGAAATACATACACAAACGTTCAGCTATTTTATTTAAGTTCAGCGTCCATAGGAGTCTGACTGCTACTGAAAGACGTGTGGTGGGGCCTGTTTGTCATGGGATCATTAATTATACAGTGGCAATATTCAAAATAGAGGGTTATTTTTGTTAAAAATACAATAATATCTGTGTTTGTGGATTATGAGCCCCTCCCGGTGACCGCAGCACTTTCCCTTGTTTCTGCACTCAGCTCTTGCAGACAGGCAAACAAACGCCTCCATTCTAGGCCCCCCGGCAGTCCCAGGGAGGACAAGCCAAGTACTGTTGCCAGCAGGTGGACCGCTGGCAGCTGGCGGTACGTACTCCACCGTGAACTCGTGCGTTCCCACAGGGATGCAGTAGACGAACTGCATGGCGCTCCAGAGGCGATGGAATTCCACGCACTCGTCCACGTGCATCACCCCGTTGCTGGGCAGGGGCCCGCGCCAGATGGGATCGTCCAGGAAGGAGCGAATCCTCGTCAGGATAACCTCAAACATGGACAGGCCGCAGCAGAGGCGTTCTTTGGTCAGCAAGTCCCCTTCCCTTGCGATCGCTATTTGCTAAGGTGGAGAGAAAGAAAATGCAGAATCCTGGTAAAACCCCCTTAACTACAAGACGCTATTTAAAAAAAAAACCCCACAAAAAAAGACCACAAAAAACCACCACCACATTTTTCAGTGTCACTTCATTTATTCTAGGAGCAATTTCTCCTGACTTTAAGTGAGGTCAGAGGCCACTGACCTGGGGCTCAGTTCAGTAGAAAAAACATTCAGAGAAGATCGTTAAAGCCTTTTCAAGCAGCCAGGCTGCTGCTGTAGTCAGTAACACTAACTGCGGTAACGCTAATCCTGGACTAGCCCCGGGGAAGTTTACAAAAATTCTTTGCCTGAATGGAGGCAGAAAGCAAACCCAAAGAGTTCAGCGCTCCGGTGCTAGTACGGGCAGCAGCTCCTGCCTGCGCCCGCCTGCCTGTCTCCCTTGCCCGCTGCTGTTAGAGACAGGAAAGCTCCGGAGGCAGCACTAACAGGCTCAGACAAAACTCTGAGGTGGCAACCGTGGTTAGGGCTTGTGCCATCACACCGAGAGGTCTTTTCTAGAGCGCAGCAGCACCTACCCAGCTGCAGCACATATGAAGATAAAAGCAGGCTGAAGTCTGCTTCAGCGCAGTCTGCTCTTAGTTCCTACTATTTGCACCCCAAAAATTGCTCCTGAACTGCTACGGTTGGCAGGGAATTAATGTACCCCCCACTGTGACAGAAAATAGTGCTGCAGCTGCAATGCAGTTCAAGAACGTTCTCTTTGGTCACTCTGGTTCCAGGAGAGCTCAACTCAAATGACTGCTTATTTTCCAAGAGTTTCTAATCATCTGGCCGAAAGAGGAATAAATTGGTTCAAATTATATGTGTGCACGTGCACAAGAAAACTGATTGCTTTTAGTGGAATTTGCACTAGGAGCCTCTGGGCTGGCCCTTATACTGAGAGGGTATCACATAGCAACATACGTAACCATCAGCATTTTCCTCAAAACATGTCACCCCTGCCCCAGCATCAAATATTTTTAAACTTCTGAGCTTTAACAGCTTTATCAAATCCATGGATCTTAAAAAAGAAAAAAATCCTGTTATGCGAACAAGCCGGATGGGCAGGTTGGAGTTCTGACACAGCTATCAACATACATGAGAGACCAGGCTTTCTAGTGCTCAGAAATGTCTTTAATTGCCTCTGACACAAACGAGAGAGATTACCTGGGGTGTGCCTAGTCTTTCAATAAGAGGAACCAAGTGTAGCGGAGCATATTTTGATTCTAGTCTCTTCATTTTAGCATCGAGTCTTTCACCCTCTGAAAGGGAAAAGGAAAAAAAAAAAAAAAGAGAGCACTGATTCATTTAATTGGTAGCCAACTTAATTTTATAAATTGAAATTAAGCAAGAAAATTCTTATTTTTACACAACCTTTATTCAGTGAGGTAGAAAACTGGGTAAGTTATTTTTATAGGTCTAAATAGTTGGTTAATCTTTGATGTGCTTTTAGAAAAATATATATTTATATTTTAAAATGTTGCATTGTATGTGCAAACAAAAAGAAGCCATGGCTTTGTAGTAGAATTCATTTAATTAACTAAATTGAAGACTGACTATAAGGCTCTATTATCCTGCTGCTGCTGCTAACATATTCGACTCCCACTTGTACTAAGCCAACTAAATTGTCCTTACCACACATAAAAAGCTTCATTCTAGAAGGTGGAGTATAATGAGGGTGGAATTTCTGTGTATAACAAGGCTTAAAAAAGCAGTTGGCACCCCCTCATCACTGGTGAGTAGGAAATGTTCTCCGGCAAATGGGAAAATACTGTTTACAACGGTCTAGTTAGTTTTATGCAGAGATGCAAGTAGCTACGGTGAGTCTGGAAATATTCTCCAAGATTTTTAGCTGACGGGATTTCTCCGAGCAGAACAAATCAGCTGCTCTGGCAACGAGAAACAGAAAGAAAAGGAGATAGAGGAGCAACGCAGAAAGAAGCGAAGTGTGAGGGGAATAAAAAGCTCACTTCTGATGAAGGAGGATGAGGAAAGCAGATACCAGAGGAAGCCATCCTGCAAACATTCACCACTGCGTGCCCAGTTTAGCAAAAAGCCATGTGAAAAGTCTACTGGGCCCAGGGACCACTTGATGATCTCTAGAGGTCCCTTCCAACCCCTACCAATCTGTGAATCTGTATTTACTTACTCTGCTGACAGACTTCCCATACCCTGTACGACCAAGCCCACCCCATTTTAACTGGCAGCCACAGAAGATACACGGCACCTTCGGAAAAGCCTCTCGCCAACCACGTCCACGCAGAGGGGTAATACTGCCCTGGGTATCCATCCCACTTTGCCCGGTCACGGCATGCCTCCTCTTCCTCCCACAATTTGCACTGAGCCTCGCTAAGGATGACGTATTTTTCAGGCAGGCCAACAAGCCTGAATCTGTTACCTCTGTCCCGTAATTACCAGGGGTGGTGTAAAGGATGAGCGGGGACAGTCACCAAAACCACAGCAGCAGGCAAGACAAGTGGAAAGCGTTACCCGAGGAAGGTGTTTTCACTTAGCCGATACCTTTGACGTGAACTCTGGGCAGGATATTTTGGAACGGCGCCGCATGCAACAGGTCACACACCTCCTCTAGGGACTGGAACGAAAAGGAAACGGAAGATATTTAGGGCCGAAGAATCCCCAAACCATGGGAGATCCCCAAAACAGGCTTCCAAAAGCATGCCAACGCTGTGCAGGAACACCAGAGGGCAGCCAGACTCTGCCGCTCCGAGCCCTCACTCTCTTGCTCCCAAAGACGATTTGATTTCACCAGGTTACCCTGGATTCCCAAATAAACTCCAGCAGCTCCCCTCCCACCCTCAGCCAGCAGTTTGTAAAGGACAGGGTATTTATTAAAAAGGCTAATGCAGAATGAGTAATTTCAGTGTGAGAGCAGCAGACGACTCCTGCACAGACAGACAGGGTGGTGAGGAAGGTGACACACTGCTGGGTTATTTTTACCAGCGCTGCTCCCACAACCCGTTATCTATCGTGGCGGGCGGATGTCCCTGCCAGGCAGGCTGAGACACAGGACAGCAGCGGTGACCCATCTCTCGGGAAGTATTTTACACCTTTATGGATGGGGGGAAGGAAGACAGCTGTCTTCTGGTTCTTGGCTGCCATACGTGCAGAGAAAATGCAGAGATGACCAGAAGGAGACTCATGACTTAGCTATGCCCCTCTCCTCATTTTTGGAGCAGAAGCTCTGCTCATTTGTAATCCCTCAGCACTAGCATTAGAAGTGATGTTCATCAGTCATACCCTCGGCAAGGCCAGGATACCCAAGTTCATACGCCCTTCCCACATCTAGTTCCTTATGGTCGGACTCGATGCTCTTTATGGTCTTTTCCAACCTAAATGATTCTGTAATTCTATGTCAACACCATGAAAATGCATGTGCTAGGCAATCAAGATTAACAAGACCACCCGCCAGCAGAAATGCACTACAGACCTACATTTTGAACCGGGGTGAAGTCTAGTTATGATAGATGACTGCAGTGGAAAAATACTGAAATTTGGGACAGAACACCAGGCCGCCACCGAGGGCAAAAACAAGAGGAGGGGCAGCGAGCAGGGGTGTATTACTAGAAAGTGTCACCAAGGTGGCGTCCCAAAGAAGGTACCTCCAGTGCTGGTGTCTTTGGTACACCCTCAAGCAGTGAGGGCCCTCACCTGCCTGGCCTTTCATCATGTACCCTAGTAGCCTGAATCCAAAGTAATCCAGTTTCTCATTTTGTTTCAGCTATCCCATTACTGAATACGGGCTCGCTGCTTGTGACTGTCCCTCCAATTACTCTCCACCACGAGGGAGGGAGCCTCTAACACCTTGACCAGGACTCTGAGGAACAGCATGTCTTTGTTACCTTATCGAACACCAGCAGCTTTAACACACCTCAGAGAAGGAGTCTTATGCGAGCATTTATCTTTGTGCAACAGCAGGCCCCCAGCCAGCTTGCTGAGGAAACGACGTAGCTGGTTTGCAGGCAGCAAAGTGGTGATGGGCAGCCCCACCTCAGCGGCAGCGTGTGCTTGTACAGCCTGGGCAGAGCCTCCTGCACGTGCAGGCAGGGGAGAGACTCCTCACCCAAGTCTCACAATGCAGGTAAAGAAGGGGAAGACAGCTCACTTGATGCTTTTCTGGCCCATAAGCAATTCCCTCTGTAGGCGCTCAAAAGCATGAAGACTGAGAAATTACACATCTGGCTGTTTTGTCTGAACAGCAAATAGTAATAACGTGGCAGAAGAGAGGGAAAAGAAAACGAGAGGTAGGGATAAAGAGCAATTGTAGCATCGTGCCCTCAGCAGCAAGCAGCTTCGTGTGCTGTAAGGCAGAGGCTAGGCATACAGGAAGCAGCTGAAAAGACTGGACATGTTTCACAGCTTCATTCAAACTAGGACAGATAAACATCTGGCAGAGCTGGCGCCACTGCCAGCCATCCAAGCAGCAAGAAGGATGTCCAAGAAGTCCATGTTAACTTTGCAATGTTTCCGATGACAACAGGAATGACAAGCAGAGAAGGAAAATAACAGTACCAGATGCACAACTCATTGACATAAAGAGAGCCACCCTGTGACTGACTGCAGGAATACTATATTTGATCATAATTTACGATGAAGGTCATAATATTTGATCCTCAGGTACCGCACACAAGGCAACGTCTCTCATCCAGCAAAGTCCTGCTATCTCGCAGACATGAAAGCCCCTGCAGGACTGTAAGAGATCAGAGCAGGGAACTGTTTCCACCCATCTGCCCATCAGCAATAGCAAACTTGCAGATTTCAGCCTTGTTATTTATGACGTTAGGAACAAAATTTGAGAGTACATTTTGAGAGGCAGATGGGTTTTCAACTAGCACAGCAGGCACCTACCAGGCTCTGTTCAATGAGGAGGCAAAACAGGACAGCATTTCCCACTTCCCTCAAATTCTGGAAGCAGACAGTCTTCAGTTCTGCATATTCAACTATGTCCTTCAACTGATGGTGAAAAAACTCCAATATACCTGAAATCAAAAGAGAAACAAAAAAATTAAATCTCAGGAGCCAGAACAATATCTAGTGATGATCACACAGGCACACCTGTCACCTTAGGAAAGCAGACAAAAGATTCAGGTCATGTGAATAAGAGTCATGAGGAGCAGGACTCATTTTTCTTTCACCTGAAAAGCACACCAACTCTCTAACCAATTTGCCTATGCAAAGGTTGCACTGAATGTGCCCAAATACCCTGCGTCAGAGCACGACTGACCAAGGCTGCGGATTTAGAGTTCTCTCTCCATGTATCCGCACATGAGATTTTTTTATCCCCAGACGTGCAGCCTAGAGGGAACTGAAAGGAGAAGTGTTTATATACATTAAAAATCAGAGTTATGAAGTGTTAAGCCGGTGGTGTGCTGACCTTTTTAACTGGACAAATCATGAAAATGGAGTGCCCAGCTTCTCACTCCTGGAAAAGGGAGCCAGTGTAAGAGGTAAGAAAATAATTTCCAGGAGCAGGAAGAGAGACGGGGGCTCTCGTCTGCTATTAGTCCTGCGCCAGCCTCTGTTCCCCAACCCGCCGCGCCACCCAATACGTTCAATTCACAGGTCTTCTTTTCAGGGCTGGCAGGGCCAGTGAGGAGCAGAGCACCAAGGATACAGGGAACAGGGGTGGTGTCAAGCTACGACTCTGAGTGCCACAGCCAGCCAGGGGGGATCTGCAACATCACCAAACAATTAAATACAAAAACCACAAGTCAAGCTCTGCTGGCAAGGGTACAGCAGATCCTCCTGACAAGCACAGGCAGAACACTGTTTCTGTCAAAGTTTTGCCAAAAGCTGTTAAAAAACAGCTAAAATTATGATTTTCAAAACGTAATTTAGATAAACACACGTCTTTTCCGCCAACCTCTCCCAAACGACGGTGACGCTTAACGCGCTGGTGGATTTCTAGCTCCTTCTCCCCATCCCCAGAGAGGTTGTGCAGTCCCTTCGTTGCAGACAAGCCCAGGGTCCTGGGCTCAGCAGCTTTTGCAGAGACACAATCTGGTCAGCACCACAGATGTTAAAATGATGTGTGGGATGGGCAAGGAAGAGCAGAGAACTACGGTAGGTCAGTCAGATGTCTGGCTTTTTACAAACTAATTTTTATCAGCATTTTCCCATCTGTCTGCACAAGCCTGGCCCTTTTAAAAAGCCCCCCAAACCCTCGACTTTTGACAGAAGAAAATACATTGTGCAAAGCTTTCAATTTGCATGCTACATACAGCAGTTCAATGCCATTATGCTGAATTAAATCAGACAGTTAAATATCCACCCAATCACATCTAAAGCAATTGAGAGGAGACAAGGAAAAAGAGCACAGATGCCCCCCGACACCTTCCCATGTGCTCCTTGGGCACAGCTGCTGAGCACTTACCATGCAGGAGATTAGATTTCAGTATTTACCCAGCAAGGCAATGGCTGAAAGGGGAGCTCGCAAACATAAGATACAGCCTGGAGCGTATCTACGCCAAGGAAATCCCTCAAATTCAGTAGAGGAACTTGAAAACGTACAGCGAAGGAAGGACTGTACAGCTAACCCACGCACTTCTACAGAAAGCCTCACATCATTAAAATTAGTAACATGAAACATCAATAAAGTGCACGGGGAGGGGACACAGGGCTGGCTCTGTTACATCTCACAGAACTGTTTGTCAATAGAAAATTTGCAGTAAAGGAATGTTCCCACACCCGTTCAGTGGAGATAAATTTCAGACCTAACTTGAGCAGTTTAGTGACTCAATGGAAAAGCAGAACTGAAAAACTAATGGACATAGATCAGATGTAACGAGTGCTTGCTGACCTTGATTTATTCAAAAGGAAAACACATTTAAATCTAGCCAAAAAGCAAAGAAGTCCCGCCAGCTCATCACCAACTCCCCCCCTTCCCATAACACTGGGGCCATATAATGAAAAAGTGTGGTGGGTTGACTGTGGCTGGAGACCAGGTGCCCACCCAGCTGCTCTATCACTCCCCTCCTCAGCAGGACAGAGGGGGGGAAGAAATTAAGATGGAAAAGACCTCGTGGGTCAAGATAAAGGCAATTTAATAAAGCAAAAGCAGAGGTTGCACATGGAAGCAAAGGAAAACCAAAAGATTTATTCCCTACTTCCCATCAGCAGGCAATGCCCGGCCACTTCCCAGGAAGCAGGGCTTCAGTACCCATCACGGTTGCTCCAGAAGACAGATGTCGTAAATAACAAATGCCCCCAGTTCCTCCCCTTATCTCTCAGCTTTTATCGCTGAGCAGACGCCATACGGTATGGAATATCCCTTTGGTCAGTTTGGGCCAGCTGTCCTGGCTGTGTCCCCTCCCAAGGTCTTGCCCATCCCCAGCCTAGTGGTGAGGGGGATGTTGGAGAGAGACAGCCTTGGTGCTGTGCCAGCGCTGCTCAGCAGTAGCCGAAACACCAGTGTGTTACCAACACCTTGCTGGCTGCCAGCGCACAGCACAGCACAGCGCTGTGAGGGCTGCTGTGGGGAAAATTAACTCCATCTCAGCCAGAGCCAATACAAAAAGCTCCACAAAAGACTGTTGGTGTCCATTCAACGCTGTGGTATAAAGGCCAATCGCAGTTCCCAGGTGCTTGAGCAGCAGTAAGCAGTTGCGGCTTAAACACACCTGCCCACCACGGCAATGAGATGCTGCAGTGCTGAATACTGGGATACCTATTTTAAAGATGAGGTTGAAAAGGCAGACTGATACGGCAGAAAATTTTCCACAAAAATTTTTTGATGCTAGGAAAAAATGTAGAGTGAGGGAACTGAAGCAAGCTTTACCACAAGCCCACAGTGTGTTTTAGTTACACGCTCTAGTATTTCCTTTGTGTTTTTCTGTCAATGAAAGGGTTTCCACACCTAGCAAGAAAGGTCTTCTAAGGATCAACTGCTAGAAGTCAAGTCAAATACTTCTCACACCAAGACTGAATGCCTTTCTGGAAGGGAAAAGTCCATTGTGTCATCCTGGACTTGGGTCTCTGCCACAGAGGAAATCAAATTAGAATATCTACCAACGCCTCTGGCCTTAGTATCCATGGCACGTACACAGACAGCGAACCACCAGAAGGGCTGGAAGACTCCCCAAAACACAGTGACTAACTGTAGACTTCACGTCGTTACCATGGTGAGAAAGCACTACCCGAGCACGTAGGATATTGGCTACAAGGACAGGCACGGGGATGTTTTTCCCTTTACCTTGTGTGGCGAGTGGGGAGCAATTTGGTGAGAAACAGAAGCTTAGCAAAGCAGCAAGGACGATTCTGCTACTGCAACAGGGAAATGACCATCAGTCAGTCAGTAAGGGGTTGGAAAGGAGAGGGGCTTCAGACTCCCCTTATCTCCTGGCCAGCCTGTGGATTTTGTGGGGAGTTTCAGAAGAGAGATTGATGCCTGGAATGATGTTGAGAAAATTTTATCTATGTTCTATGGGCAGCTCTGAAGTGAAATCCTGAGAATAACCCATACAGCAAATATAAAAGAGCAGGATGGCATACAGAGAAACCAGGAGCAGCACAGAGGACTGTGATCAGCAACAAGGAATGCTATTACCTAAACCCATACTGACGGTGCAACTGAAACCAAAGCAGGACAGTAAGTCCACCCAAAAGCAGCAGGATAGCAGAAGTCAGAGGCTTGAGGTTTTTTAGACCAGAAAAATTACATATTGACTTTTACAGTCACTCCAGGTGACAGAGTTCCTCTCCAAGTCCTTAACAAAGATCCCTATTTCTTCACCCAAAGTCCCAGTCTCCATATAGAGACACGTAAACACAGACACTCACACACATGCGTTCATGAACAAATTGTGTCATTATTTTGAAAATCTGACACCCAGTATTTAGCATGCAGTTGTTGCAAGTGCCACTATCAACAATGCACTGCTTCCCCTTAGATGAAAGGCCTGACTTACTGGCAAAACAGGTGCAAGTTTACAGAGCTACATAGACTATTTTTGATGGAACAGAAATGACACTGAAAGCACGATTTGCTCCCTAATGGAGTCCTGTAGCAGAAATACTTCATCACATCTTCATTAAGGTTTGCGCAAGGGCATTCCCAATTACACCTCCTTGTACTATACAGCACACAGAACGCTATTTTTGTGAAAAACTATGCACGCGTACTAAAACCCTGCATTAAAAGTTAATTTCACTTAAGTGCATGCAACTTTCCTCCTTCCCCTAATTTTATTTGTGGTGCAATCCCTAAGTTACTGAATTAGTTATGTATACATAGCATTCTGCAAGGCAAATGAATTGAGGCTTTTTGCTCCTTCTCTCCAAGAAAGCAATTTTAATTAAACCCCTCTATTCCTGCAGATGGGATGACATTAGGTGTCATAATAATCGATTTTATAATCCCAGTTTCTGATTTACACGGATCTCAACAGAAGCAAAGGCTGTTGATATAAAATAAATCTACTAAAGTATAGAAGATTAGTAAAGGATTAGGTTCCATCTCTGCTTCCAAAATCCTATCTCAACAGCACTCAAACAGCAGATGCCAAGTTTTAGCTGTGCAGTCTGTACACCAATTAATTTAGGAAGTCAGACCAAGTCAACACATGCAACGTAAAGCTGGTTGGATTTTTTCCCTTCAGGCACCTTTCGTGTTCTATAAAACAATCTCAATTCACACCTACAGACTCAAATCAAACACGTTCTAGAGCTTGTAGTAATTCTGGTACCTAAAAGATTAGGATGAAAATTGGCTATCAATTCTAGAACTGAATTGCTGACTAACAACAAACCAGACCTTGAATATAATTCTCGGTCTAGTTGTGTTATGGGTTATTTTCTGCAGAGTACTTATTTGACTACTGTCTAGTAAAATCTGCTAATCCGCAACAAACAAACTGCTCCCAAGAACCTGGGTGCTGTAATGACCTTTAGTTTATGCTCACTCTCAGAGAGACCTTCAAATGCTACCTACAAATACTTCCTTGGCTCACAACAGACATCGTTAACTCTGTATATCAGCAGTCATGTCATTCCTTTCAACACAAATGTTTGTAAGCATATACACGTATCTGGGAATTAAGATCACGGAGCCTGGGCTCTGTTTATTTTGCTAGAAAGAAATATCCTTTTGTTCTGCATATCCAACCAGTCCTTACTGCCCTTTCACAACCATCTAGATGATTTGGGTTGCCCTCAAATTCTTTCCAGTAGTCTGTGATTCGCTCCCAAATCTGTCTCCAACGCTCCTGAAAAACCTATGAACAAATTCCTTTCATATTCTTCCCCACGAGGACTCAAGTTGTCGTGCCCCCACCAAGAAATTAACTTACTCTACCACTCATCCAAGTTTGATCAAAAACCTGGGGTATTGGGAAGCATTACTGGCCCTGCTGCCGTGCCCAAGCGATGTTTCCCCAGCAGCCTCTAGCCACTACTGCCCTGCACCATGCTTCCCGGCCCAGGCTAGCTCCAGTTCCTATAGACCCTGGCCCGAAATATCCCAGAAAAAGGGCGGGTGGAAGACTGTTTTCTGCCAGGTTGCTGTGCTGCAGCAGCTCAGAAGGTGTTGCCAGCAGCACAATCAGCCCAAGGAGAGACGGGAACGCAGCAGCCGGCAGCATGGGGCACTGGGAGGCTTCCCCAAACTGCCATGCGAACACGTGGGATTTCAAGAGATCATGGCTCGGTGTAATGAGTGCTTTGCCCTGCACCAGCTTGGGGTGTTTTGTTTCTTTGATTTTTTTTTTTTTTTAAAGAAGAAACATGGAAATACTATACTTAGTAACCTAACTGTGTATTTTTTCCCTTCTCACCAAGTTTCCATCTTGCTAAGCTCATCGATTCTTTTAAAAAACTTTATTTTGGAGGGGTAATATACCAGTGACAAAAATCTAAGCCTCATCTCACAGCAGAGTTGACAAACGACTTTCCTCATTGTGCCCAGTGATACTTCAGAGTGGCAGGATATGAAATACTCATTTATCAAAA